TGGATGATTGGTTGATAATAGCGCCATTTTAGGGTGAGGTAGAAGGGGGAATTGCTGACAGTTAAGTCAGCTGAGGTCAGCTGTGCTTACCTTCCCTCTGTGAATCCTTGGTGTGGGATGGGGTGGGGTGGGATTGGCTGGCAACTACTTGAAAATCTACCAGGTAAAATTTTAAGATTTGCTGCTTTATCTAGAACTACTGGTTTGAGATTCCTGCCTCATATTTTATGTTTGGTGTGCTTTCTTTTAAAAGGCAATATTGATGCATTTTGTTTTTACACAGTCATCACTTCCATATGACAAGCATCCAAAGAAATCTCCCCAAAAGAGTTAAACAAAACTGTATAATAGTAATTTTCAGTGATAGTATATGGCATTTCCCACTTCTGTAGTTCACTATTTGTTAACAGAAATGAATGCCATGTGCTTTAACTTTAATAATAATTTGCTGTTTGGCATACTCTCAACCTCTTTTTTTTTTATCAATTTGCTAATGTCAACTAAGCTAAATGAAATTATGAGTCATACAGAGCACAGCCTTTTGTGAACCTTCCTGGTCTTTAAAGCAAACACCTACTTTAAAAAAAAAAATGATGAGATGGGGCAGGTTTTTTTTTTCTATCAGATTAAACTATTTTAATTTAGAGAAAAAGTTTACTGATCTGCTTTGAACCTAGCTTGGAAATTCACAAAAACCAATGTTGGACACATAGTAGGAACTTAATAAATCTTTGTTGAGATGAATCATACTTGAATTTTCTCTTTCATAAAGGGAAAAACAATACAGATTAAAGATAGAACTTAATTTGAAGAGTTGAACAACTCAAGATGTATCCATTGATCTTTTTCAATGAATATCTTCTTTCTTTTAGAATTTTACTTATCTAATGGATGGTATAATCCCATTGAGTGGGGACCACGTGATTTGCTAGCAAATAGTTCACCTGCCTAGAGGGCAAAAGAAATCGGGCCTTAAAGAAATCCGAGGCTCTCTGCCTCTCTTTTAGATTCCCTATGCTTCCAATGAGAGTTCTGAATGGGAGCCAGCCCTGAGTATATTTGGCTGCATTTCTGTTTCCTTAATCTAATGATGTGGAGAGTAGGAGGAAGAAGACGACAGCATGTCTAGGAGAGGATGCTTACGTTGGAAAGCTTGAATATTGTCAATGGAAACATCTCTTTCCTCTGAACAGCTTTTTCAGGCTGAGAAATTTTGGGGAAACCTATCTACAAGACTGTCTCATATTCAAGATCTCTACGCTTTGTGTGAGCTTTGTGTTATGCCTATCAGCATGTGCTAGGTTCTGTGAAAACGCACAGTTACTAGTAAGAGCTCAGTTCTAGGGGGTTCACTTGTGACATTCTTTCTCAGTTGTCAACTTTTGACATTTTTGTTCAAATTGCAAATTTAGGTCATACTCATACATGTGACTTTAGCCTTGGGATTTGGACTGTCATTAAAGATGGGTTAAAAGAAAGCTCTCAAGGGGGCAGCTAGGTGGCGCAGTGGATAGAGCACTGGCTCTGGATTCAGGAGGACCTGAGTTCAAATGCGGCCTCAGACACATAACACTTACTAGCTGTGTGACCCTGGGCAAGTCACTTAAACCCCATTGCCCAATCAAAAAAACAAACAAGAGAAAGCTCTCAACCATCTTTCCCGTGATGTAGTTGATAGAAATGAGTATCAAAACCTACATATATGACAGCATAGTGCCTGAAGTTGCATTTATAACTTATCACTATTGGACTCTGTTAATTTGATTGACCATACCTAATCTTGAGCAGCTAGGTGGTACAGCAGATAGAGTGCTGGGCCTGGAGTCAGGAAGACTCATCTTCATGAGTTCAAATCAAGCCTCAGACGCTTACTAGTTGTGTGACCCTGGGCAAGTCACTAACCCTGTTTGCCTCAGTTTCCTCATCTGTAAAATGAGCTAGAGAAGAAAATGGCAAACCACTCCAGTATCTTTGCCAAGAAAACCCCAAATGGGGTCACGAAGAGTTGGACATGACTGATAAATGACTTAACAACAGCAAATCCCATTTGTTATTTGTACATGATGGCAATCGTATACTTCTTGGATTGGGGTTATTTGTATCTGTGTGATTTCTTCATCTAGTTTGTAAACTGTGGGGAGTCAAGGATTGTATCTTATGCTTCCTTGCATTTTCCAGTGCCAAACAGTAGTAAGTATCCAATAAACATTCTTGGTTTCTTATGCTGATTCATGGAATTCCTCCCACCCTTTCAGTGTGGGCCTTGCTCTGTCTATTCTTCATCTACTTCTCTCTGCATTTTCTTACTTGATTATCTTATCACCTCTTATACCTTCTTTTATCCTCTCTCTTTGTAGATGACTTTTAAATTTATATATCCAGCCCTAGTGCTTATAAATATACAATATACAAATAGCATATACAATATAATTACATTTATATAACATACACATGTACATGTTTATTGATTGACTAAAGTCACTCTTGAATTCTAGTCTTAGCATCACCAACTGCCATGCCCCACAGATAGGGTTTTAATAAGTGTTTGTTGAATCAAATCAAATATTCGTTTGCTGAGAACCTTCACAAGGGATGATCTACTTCTCATTCTTCCATCTTTGCTACCTTTGACACTCTGTTGACCCGTCTGGTCCTTGAAGCTCTTCCCTTGGCTTGAGTGATACTGAATTCTCGAGGTTTTCTTCTCTCATTTGAGTTCCTCCTTCACTGTCCCCTCCAATGTCTCCTCTTCCTCTTCCCACCCTCAAAATGTCTTTGCTCCCCAGGTTTCAGATCTCTGCCCTATTCTCTTCTCTCTCTCCAGTCTCTCATTTGGTAATTTTATTTGCTCCTGTGGCTTCCTCTGCTGCCCCTCTGCAGACAGATGGCTCCCACGCCTGTATTTCGGTTCTGTACTTTCACCTGCCCCTCCTTCTGCCTTCCCTGTTTGTGCTGGTCACCTGGGCTCCCTAATGTCATTGGCTCCACCCTCCCCCTTGCCCCTCCTCTAGCCTATCAGTGGCCAAGTCCTGCCCATTACAACTCCCAGACTCACATTTTTGTAGCACTCAGAGGTTTGCAAAGCACTGTCCTCACAACCGCTCTGTGCCGAGGTGGTTCCAGTGTTATTATCCCCATCTTGTAGACAAAGAAACTGAAGCTCTGAGAGAGAGTACGGAAGCTGCCCGGGATCACAAAGCTAGTGAATGTCTGATCAGAACCTGTGCTCCACCATGGGCGTTTTCATTCTCCCTCCTGCCATGTACGTAGGTTTAGGCTCCTGTCACCTCATCTGGATCACTGTAATAACCTCCTAACCTGTCTCCCCCAGGACATCCCATCCTACACATTTTAGTCAGATTATTCTTTTTAACTTAATTCTAATCTTTTTCATCCAATTCTGTTAAATCCTTCTTGAAATCATAAGCCTTCAGTGGCTCCCCATTGCCTGTAGAATAAAGTCCTAAAAGAGATAAAACCTGCCCAGGATTGTCATGATTTGGCCCAATCCTTCCTCTTCAGCATCATTTCTCCTCCTCTTTGTGCCATCTAAACTTCAACTATACTATTATTGCTGTCTCTGAATGCACTTCTAATTTTCCTATTTCTGTGCTTTTGCTAATGCTGTTGTTTCAGGCTAGAATGTCCTTTCGTGGGCAGTTGGGTGGTGCAGAGCACCAGGCTTACAATCAGGAAGATCTAAGTTCACATCTGGCCTCAGACACTCAGTAACTTTGTGACCACAGGCCAGTTACTTAACTTCTCTGGACCTCAATTTCCTCATCTGTAAAATGGAGATAATATTACACTGCCTTCCTCACAGGTTTGTTGTGAGAGAAGCACTTTGGAAATTGTAAATTTCTTTATAAATATGTTATTACTATATTATTCTCTCATTTATTGAAGGAATACACAAATATACTGTCATGATTGGCATGACTGTTCTCTTAATGAATGGTAATTGTGAGTGAATTGGTCAAAATTTAGGTTCAGGAACAGTCTAGGACAGAAGTTCTTAACTTGGGGTCTGTAGATCCTGGAGGCATTTTCATGTATAGATTTCGAGGGTCTGTAATTTGTTTTTAAAAATATTTTGATAACTATATTTATTTTGGTTTTTAAATTTTATTTTTAATTTATGGAATAAAATAAGCATTTCCATAACATAGTATAATTTTAAAAAGATGATTGTACATGAAACTGCAAATCTATTATACACAGCTTGCTATTCCTTTTAAATATTTAATAAAGTTATCATGTAAATTTTTTTCTTTTTTTCCCATCCTCACCCCCCAGGAGATGGCTTTCATTAGACACAGATACGTGTGCGTATATGTAAATAGAGTTACAAATATGTCAATACAATTTATAAATATATAAAATCATTTTATACATCTATTTATCAGTTCTTTCTCTGGATGTAGAATACAATTGTTTTCCTTTGTAGTTCTGTTTATTTTATTTTATACATTTTAAAACATTATTATGAGAAAGGGAACTTCTGTGGTACCTAAGCTTTGACTGGCTGACCTGGGCCACTTTGCCCCTCCTTAGTCAATCTCCACCCCCTCCTGGGTGCTCACCATACTGAAGCCAAATTTAGTGTGGACAGCTGATTGGCCTAGCTCATTGCAGCTCAGAACTCCAGAGCTCAAGCAATCTGCCAGCTTCAGTCTCCTTAACTGAGCTCGTGGATGTGTGCCACCACACTTGGTAACAATTACTCATTGAAGGCAGAATCATTATAGTGTTGAAGTGGTACAATTCAGAAATATTTTAAACACCAAAATTTTAAAGAAAGACTCTCCTTTGAAAATAATCATTTAGTTGTCTGTCTCCTTCCCTTAGTCTCTCTATCCTCCAACTGTGGAGGTCTTAGATTATCTTCTATGCTATAGATTAGATTCTTATTGGATTAAATTGATTCAGAAGGATTTTCCTACTGTGAGATGCCTTGTGATTGTATGAATGTAACATTTTCCTTTACTTTTCTATCCTAGGCTCACAATGGATGCTCTACGATTGGCAAATTCAGCTTTTGCGGTTGACCTTTTCAAACAGTTGTGTGACAAGGAAGCGGCAAGCAATGTCCTTTTCTCTCCAATATGTCTTTCTACCTCCCTGTCCCTGGCTCAAGTAGGCAGCAAAGGTGATACAGCAAGCGAAATCGGAAAGGTACGCTTTGGATTCTTTGTTTCCATTTTTAAGAGCTAGTAGCATTTGCTTTTACTTGGATAATATCTAGGGGGAAAGTGGGAGGAATTTTAGCATAGTATTACTGCAAGAATTAAGGCACGGTCAATTTTCTTCACACCTACATTCCCATGTTGAACTGGAAGTTTCTGCAGTTGAACAGCATGGTTTTGTGGAATTTGCTCTGCTATTTTAAAATAGGTCCCGGTGGTCTCTATCTGATTCAGACCACAGGAGCCCCCAAAAAAGTGTTTTATATCAGGCATTGTGATTTAGTAGAAAGGTCCCCAAACTCTCTAATACTGGGTTCTAGTCCAAACTTTGCCAATAATTACATTGAGTTACTTAACCTCTCTTCATCGCAGTATCCTAATCTGTAAAATGGAGAAGATAGTTCCTGTTCCCTACAATTACATAGGGCATCTGGTGAGGGTCAAATAACATAATGCATTTGAAAACATTTTGAGAAGCACTATGCCCATATGGATCTGTGATCTCATCAATTTGGATGTTCCCTCCAGTAACCCATATTACCACCCCCAATCCATGTAGGCCAACTCTTAGACATATTTTTTCATACCTTGGCCACAGGGGATGCACCCAGCATGCTAGAGACCTTCCTCACCAAGTACTGTGCAAATGTAAAATATTATTCAGTCATTGCAGCTTTGGTCAACACTCAATAAAATACGAGACTTAAAGCTTTTTGGTGCTAGGGTGAATGAGTTTGTTCCCTTGGTGGTAAGGTGCAGGAAAGTTTGCAAATCTTTATTTTGCCCAAGTCTTTCTCCACCCAATGCTTATTTCCATAGAGTGTATTTCCAAGTATTCACACCCCCATTTACTTTTAGTTATCAGATGAAATTCCCTATAATCTAGCATTACTATACTAATGATTATTTTGTAGTTCAGTAGCACTTTTTTCCCCTCCAAGGAAATCTTAAGAACTTTTAGCCCAGTGTCTCTGGATGAGCCCTTAACCGTTCCTGGGGTTGTCTGGGTCATGGTTTACATGAGTTCTAGAGATATAAGTCCAAGAGAGTAGCCCTTGTCTCATTTGTCTCTTCCCTATCAACCCTCCACCTCCACCCCTTATTCCAATCCATTTTTCTGGAAAGTACAGATGCATACAGATGCATAGGAGAGTTGTTTATTGTTTGTCCTTTGTTCTCAAAGAGAACCAATGCCATCATGAGGGTGATGTCTTGACTTGTGTGTGAATTGGAATTTAAGTGAGGCAGAGTTTCAGTTGTCAGCCTCACTTTCTCCTCCAGAGCCATTGCAGTCTAGTGGCAAGACAAAAATCAAGATGACTGATGATGGCCTGGGATGTAGTAGGTGATCTTAGCCTTTCTGAATTAAGAGCTTTCCCTGAGTGTTATCCCTGGCAAAGAATCTTTATTTCCTTAAAGTTCAAAATTGATAATGAGTTGATAATAATGCTTCAATGCTTAAAGTACTAAAATTATTATTATTATCAGTAATGATAATAAATCTTTACATAGAGCTTTAATAACATAAGAGAATATGGCAACCTTAAGAGACAAAGTACAAAAAGGAGATGTGGCCTTGCACACCCTTTCCACCCAGCTGCCTCCCCAGTGATCTTCTCAGCAATCAGCTTGGCTGTTTCGTTTTCTGATCTCCCAGCCAGAGGCCCTGCCGTGTGTCAGTGAGAGTTGGGAACATTGTGACAACATGACTTCTCATTGTCAGATGGCGTAGGTCTCTAGAGCATGATGTGGCATTTCTCATTTGCATGAGAAAACAATCTCCACTTTATTTGTTGTGAGGTTACAAGCACTTTGTATTTAGATTAGTTTGTACCAGAGAGAGAATATTTGGTGATTCAAATCAGGAGTAAAAATGTACGATTTAATACTTATCAGATTCTGGAGGCATTGCCAGGTTGTAGCAACTCATGAAGAAACTGAAACAATTTTCTGGGATACCCTCTCTGAGGCTTAGGGGAACCCTCTGTGGTACCCAAAGAGTTAAAGTAAGGACTGAAAGGGTGAGTGAAATGCTTCGATCATGTCAACTTACCAGCCAATCAATCAATATTTATTGGGGCAGCTAGGTGGCACAGTGGATACAGCACTGGTCCTGAAGTCAGGAGGACCTGAGTTCAAATCTGGCCTCATACCAAACACTTGACACTTACCAGCTGTGTGACCCTGAGCAAGTCACTTAACCCCAGTTGCCTTAAAAAAAAAAATCAGTATTTATTGAGTGGTTATATGTGGCATCAAGGCTTTGTGGTGTAATGATGCTAGGAGTCAGAGAACCAGATTCATAGGATTTTAGGAATTAGGAGCTCAAAGGGACTTTATGGATCCTTTCATCCAATTCTCTCATCCTACAGATGAGAAAAACAAAGCCCAGAATGGTAAAATAATATACTCAAATGGCAGAGCTAAGATTCAAACTCAGGTCCAAATCCAGAATTCTTTTTTATTCTACCATAATATTACAATTCTGTCACTAAATTTGATTTTGAGTAAGCCATGTCGGGCAGCTAGATGGCACAGTGGATAGAGCACTGGGCCTGGAGTCAGGAAGACCTGAATTCACATTTGGCCTCAGATACTATCTGTGTGACCCTGGACAAGTCACTTAACCTTATTTGCCTCAGTTTCCTCATTTATAAAACAAGCTGGAAAAGAAATGGCAAACCAGTCCAGTATCTTTGCCAAGAAAACCCCAAATGGGTCAGGAAAAGTCAGATATGACTAAAACAACTGAACAATACAAGCCATTAGATTCTTAGAGCCTCAGCCTACTCCAATGAGAAGGTTGGACTTGCTCTCTTACATCCCTTCTAGCTTAAACCTTCTATGATTCTGTTATATTTGTGTGATGGATGAGATACAGAAAGGTTATTATAAGACTTGTTCTTATATTCTGTTTGAGAAAACAAAAATACATAAAACAATCAAATAATTCTTAGTTGCTAATCTGGAGCATTAAAATTAAGTGCAGTAAGAGTTCAGGGGAGAGAAGTCACCAGGGCTGGAAAGATTGGAGAAGGCTTTATGGAAAAAATGGGACTTGAGTCAGGTCCTGAAGGATGGACAAAATTTGTGCAATATAGTACGGTGAAAGAAACTCTGGGTATGAAGTCAGAGAAACCTCAGGTCAAATCTCAGCTCTGTTATTTACTGCTTGTGTGACCTTGGGCAAGAGACTTAATGTTTCTGAGACTCAGTTTTCCCATATGTAAAAAATCTGTTTGTATTAGACAGCCTCTGATATTCTTTCCAGCTCTAAATGTATGATTCCATGAACGGTGTTGGTGAGAAGTGAGAAATGAATGTGGGCCAAGTAGGGAAAGAAGACGAAGGTGGAATTGAATAGGGTGTAACCAAAAGGGAGTGAAGAGAGGCTGCAGGAAGTAGACATTGCCTACAGAAGACCAGTAGCAGACAAAGCTGACAAGGCTGAGTGGATTATGGAGGACCTTGGTGGGTTGACCTTGAGGTGGTAGGACGCATGATTTATGAAGTTCATTTTTTCCCATAGGTCAATTTTGGAGCAGGTCAGAGCAGCATTCTTGGGCTTACCATGCATTTCTCCTCCTCGAGGATTATTACTCTCTCTGCCAATTGCTTTTCTGTTGTTTTCATTATGGGTTGATAATAACACCCAGTTGGGGCTCTGTTTTTGGAATAAAATGCAAGACAACCTGCTACCTATTACCACAAATAAGGAAGTAGAGGCTCCTACCAAAAGATACCTTAAGCTTGCTTTCTGAAAAATCCCACTACCTCGTACATGTGCATTTATAGAGCACCTACTGTGTTCCAGGAACTGTGCTAAATGCTTTACAACCAAACTAGAACCTAGGGAAACTTCATCCATATCCTAAAAATAGACTCTCACCTTCAACAACAACAAAAATCTATTGTATGGATCATTGTATGCAATCTAATGAAGCACATGTAAACCTTACTTTAGATCACAATGTGGCAAACTATGAAAGCAAGGTGGTACAGTGGATAGAGATCAAGACCTGGAGTCAGAAAGACCTGAGTTCAAATCCAGCCTCACACATTCACTAGCTATGTGACTTTGGGCAAGTCATTGACCTCTGTTTGCTTCAGTTTTCTCATCTGTAAAATGGGGATGATAATAGCCCTTACCTCCCAAGGTTGTTGTGAGGATCAAATGATGATGATGATGATGATGATAAAGCACTTATCACAGTGCCTGGCAGGGTGCAATTTCCATGCCAAGCTTCCCAAAGTTCATTTCCCTCAAGAACAAACTGGAAGAGAAGGGAGGTCCCTAAGAGATTAAAAAAAAATGATAGCGTTATAGATTTAGACCTGGATGGGGCCTTAAAGATCATTTTGTCCAACCCCCTCCTTTTACAGATAAGAAAACTCTAGGCTCAAAGAGTTTTAAGTGCCTCATCCAGAGTAGTAAGTTGCAGAACCAGGATTTGAACCCAAGTTTTCTGGTCACAAACCCATTGTGCTTTCCTCTACTCCACATTTCCTACTTCAAATATGTCTGTGATAGATCAGTTAGAACAAGTTCTTTTGGTCATGTACAGTTTATTTAAGGAACGTTAGCAATGGAGTAGAAGAGAACTATACTCACATAACTTTTCTTGGAATGAGGTGGTATAGTGGATAGAGCACTGGGCCTGGAGTCAGGAAACCTGAGTTCAAATCCCACCTCAGATATTTACTAGCTGTATGACACTGGACAAGTCTCCTTCCCTGTTTGCCTCAGTTTCCTCACCTGTAAAATGAGTTGGAGAAGGAAATGGCAAACCATTCCAGTATCTTTGCTAAGAAAATTCCAAATGGAGTCATGAAGAATCAGACAGGGCTGAAAAATGACTGAAACAAATTCTTACTATATTACTATTTTGCTGGTTTCACCTTAGCAATAAGTCTGTTTTCCCTCAGGGGAAATGAGCATTTCTGAAAGGACTGGGGGTGGCAGTACATTCGTCCTCTTGCTCTGCCTTCTACCCTGGACTCTGCCCCCTTCACATGTGAGGCTTTGTTTAAACCATACAGCCTGTCTGGGGCTAGTGCTTCCCAGGGGTTTTATAGTGTGCCATAATAGACTCAGACTGAAGAAGTAGGACAAAGCCCGGGTCTGATTATTACTAGCTGTATGACTCAAGGCAAGTCACAACCTTTCTTAACATCAGTTTCTTCATCCATAATATGGCCATAATAATACCTGTCATGCCCAATTCACAGAGTTTTTTAAGCCTAAGTGAGATGATGTGTGTAAAGTACTTTCAAAACCTTAAGGTGCTATAAAATATCATTTATTATTATTAAATATTACCATTTTCATGAAATATTGTTTCTCCAAATCATGATCCTAGTTTCATCTTTGAGGGAGCTTGAAACTTAATCATATTTGAAAATCGTCCAGTGTTAACATTAGGAGCATCATTCCTAACACAACTAACGAAGACAATGTCATTGTTGTTCATTTTTCAGTCACATCTGACTTTCCGTGGCCTCACTCGGGGTTTTCTTGGCAAAGATACTGAAGTGGTTTGCCGTTTCCTTTTCTAGCTCATTTTACAGATGAGGAAACTGAGGTAAACAGGGTTAAGTGACTTGCTTAAGGTCACACAGCTAGTGAGTGTCTGAGGCTCGATTTTAACTCAGGAAGATGAGTCTTTCTGACTCCAAGCCTGGCACTCTACCCACTGCAACACCCAGCTGCCCAGAACCAAGAGAATGCAGTGTAGTTATTTATGCACGTACCATATTCCCCTATTAAACTGCAAGCTTTGTAAAGTCAGGAACAGTGAGTCATGTGATTTGTGTCTTGGCCCCGTTCCCCCAAGCACATTCCCCACCCAGTGCCTAGCACAGGACATTCATTGAACTTGGCCAGCACTTAATAAATGAAGGTTGAACTGAGCTGTCCAACAGTGACAGAAAAGATCAATAGTTTCCATTAAGCAGCTTCTTCTTTTTGTTCACAGGTCCTTCACTTTGAAAATGTCAAAGATGTACCTTTTGCGTTTCAAACAGTGACCTCCGATGTAAACAAACTCAGTTCTTTCTACTCCCTGAAGCTAATCAAACGACTCTATGTAGATAAATCTCTGAACCCAAGTACGGTAAGTTTCTTTAAAAAACAAAACAAAACTTGGCTTACGTTTCCTTTCACACTTTTAGAGCTGTATACAGGGTTGTAGCCTCACGGGGGCATGTAGGGACACCTGAGCTTCAGCTGACCCTCTCCTTAATTATTTATGGGGTGACTAAGGAGCCACTCAGTAAAGCCTGAGCATCTGGCAGTAATTGCTGCCGCCCCCAAATTTCTAAAGCAGCAAACGTACCCTGGGACCTTCACATTATGTTGAATCATGGAGCGGTTCAGTATAAGGAATCCTGGATTTGGAATCAGAGAACTCAAATCTCAGTTCTGCCTCTTGCTATGTGACCTTAGGCAAGTTACTTATATTCTGTAAAATGAGGAATTAATCTAGATGACTTCAAAGGTCTTTCTTTTGCTTCCAAATCTATGATCCTAAGATGAAGAAGATACACATATCCTCTTCCGGCATTTAAAAAATTTTCTGTCCATGGTTCTCTGAGCTGTCACTAAGCATTTTGTTCAGTTATTTTCAGTTATGTCCAACTCTTTATGACCCTATTTGAGGCTTTCTTGGCAATGATGCCAGAATGGTTTGCTATTTCCTTCTCCAGCCCATTTTACAGATGAGGAAATTGAGGCAAACTGGGTTAAGTGACTTATGTAGGGTTACACAGCTAGTAAGTATCTGAACTCAAAAAGATGAGTCTTCCTAACTACAGGCCTAGTACTCTATCCACTGTGTCAACTCTCAGTAAATAATAGGCCAACCATTGATGACATAACAGCCCACTCCTGACCGGCCTAATGCTCTCTGATCATTTATCTAGCCAATGATACTAATATAACAGGAGAGAAAATCACCTTACCCTCTATTTTTACGAGCCACATTTATACAAAATTTTTGCATATAGTTCTTCCCCTAGATTTATTCCAGCAGATAGTGTTATGAGGAAGCTTTTATTGGAATGATCCCAATTTTCTATTCATTATCATTAGTGTATTATTTTTTTTAAAAAGCCAATCCTAAGAGGGTAGGTTCAATTAACACAAGAAACCGACAAGACAAGACAAGAAGATCATTTGTTTCTCTTTCACATCTTATCTCCAACATACTTCCATTCTACTCTCACTCTTAGACTACATTTACATGGGAGAAAACAGCTGGAAAACCTGACACATTCTGGTTAATTTAATCAGTGTTGATAGCCAAGCCCACTTCTTCCTCAGCGGTGTTTTGCTTCAGATATCTGGATATTCCCCTCATCTCTCTTCTTCATTTTGACTACATGCAGTGAGCTTTTATTTTGTTTTGTTTTAACCTTCCTTAGTACCAGTGAAGATCAGCCATCTCAGAGTATAGATTTCAGTAGTCAGGAGATAGTGATATCACTAACTAGTCTAATCTTTAATGAACATCAGTAGTGTCATTTTAGGTTGGATGAAAATCAATTCTGAGTCCAATGGGCAGAAAAATGTCCTGAATTTCAGCAAATGCCTTGTAGAATGTTCTCTCCACCTAAAGCACTGTGGGACTCAAGAATCCTAAATTTAATTACCAGACCACTACGTTAAATACCTTACCATAATTTTACTGCTTTGGGCAGCAGATAAGAAAGATACCCATTCTTGAGGCTCAGGTAATTTCAAATGTTGGACAGCTAGGTGGTGAAGTGGATAGAGCACCAGGCCTGAGTTCAGATCTGGCCTCAGATCTTACTAGCTCTGTGACCCTGGGCAAGTCACTTAACCCCATTTGTCTCAGTTTCTTCATCTGTATAATGAGCTGGTTGTTGTTTGTCCTCTATTCTTGAAGAAGACTGACATTAGGGAGGTGATGCCATGACATGCAAGTGAATAGGATTTAAGTGAGGGAGGCTTGTGCAAAGCCACCTCACTTTCTCATCCTCTGGAGGAAGGAAGAAAGAGAAAGAAAGAAAGAGAGAAAGAAAGAAAGAAAGAAAAAAAGAAAGAAAGAAAGAAAGAAAGAAAGAAAGAGGGAAAGAAAGAAAGAGGGAAAGAAAGAAAGAGAGAAAGAAAGAAAGAGAGAAAGAAAGAAAGAAAGAAAGAAGGAAAGAAGGAAAGAAAGAAAGAAAGGAAGGAAGGAAAGAAGGAAGGAAGGAGGGAAGGAAGGAAGGAAGGAAGGAAGGAAGGAAGGAAGGAAGGAAGGAAGGAAGGAAGAGCGAGCTGTGTTGCCCAAGTGGCCAATTCCCCAGTGGAGCAGCTCCTGTTTCTACTCACAGAAGCTGTTATTTGTCCTTTGTTCTTGAAGAAGACCATGATATCGGGGAGGTGATGCCTTGACATGCAAGTGAATTGGATTTAATTGAGGGAGGGCTGTGCAAAGTCACTGACTTCACTTTCTCCTCTGGAGTCTTGCCAAGAAAACCCCAAATGGGGTCACAAAGGGTCAGACACAACTGAAATGACTAAACTGACTGCAACTTCCTGACTCTAGGCCCAGGGTTCTAACTCCTGTGAAACCCAGCTGCCCTAATTTGCCAACCTGTGGTCTAAAATAATGTTTCAACAGACTTCATTTATTGTAAAATATTAATGCTTAAACATAATAGATGATACATACTCTCTTTCTCTCTCTCTACAAATATATATATATATATATATGTAGATATATATATGTACATCTTTCCTTATGTTCTAGTTAGTTGTAAAGCATTTGGCACAGTGACTGGAACAGAGTATGTGTTACATAAATGTTTTTTCCTTGCTCTTTCCCCTTGGGGTGGAGGTGGGAGTGGTTGCTACTGGCTTTAGTGGCTACTTCATTTTACTGGCGACTTCATTCTGAGAGTTGCAATTAAGCTGGCTCTTATGAACTATTTAGGTGGCACCCACTACCGTAGTTACTATTAAGCTGTTATATGGTATAATACTGCATGAGATTTTTGATAGTACTAGGAGGGAAAGTGATCTATTTCATAGGTGGACTGAACTGCTACCTTGGAAGCTTATGGATCATTTTGACCAAATTCATGGAACTTGGTTTTTGCTATTTACTTTCCATTGCTAGTTTTGATTGTGTGCTATTTGCATGTTTCATTAGTAATTCTGTTTCCTGTGTAGAAAAATCCATTGACTTCTACATATAAATAATCAGTTCTCTTCCTCTTCGTTCTTGACCTTTTCCTTTTCCTCCTCTTCCTCTTTTTCTCTTCCTTCTTCCACTCCTCCTTCTTCTCCTTCTCTCCTTCCTAGTCTTCTTTCTTTTTGGCTCCTTTTTTCTCCTCTTCCTTTCTTCTCCTTCTTTGTCTCTTTCCCTTTTTTTCTCTTCCTCATTCTCCTCTCTCTTCCATCTTTTTACCTCCATATCCTCTCTTTCCTTATTCTCTTCTCTTTTTATCTCTCCTTCTCTGCCATCTTCCCCTCTTCTTTCTCCTTTACCATCTTTCCTTCTTCCTTTTCCTTCTATTCTACTTTCTTCCTCTCCTCTCCCTATTCCGTTTTCATTTTTCTTCCTCCTCTTCCTTCTCTTTCTTTTCCTCTTCAAAATACACAGTGCTATAGCATTTGAAAAGATAGTTGTGATTATTCCTCAATACTTCAAAAGATTTGTGTTTTCATGGTTGGGTCAGGGTACTCTCTCCACAAACGTAGATCACAAGCTCTTCACTCTTAGTAGGCAATTCAATGAGTTGCTATGGTCAAACAGTTCAGTGCCTGGTGTCTAATTTCCTGGTGTTAAGCTTCTCCAAACACAGGGTTGGTCATCAGGAAAGAGACACATTGTCTGTTGCTGAGTTGGTAGTTGGCATCTTCTTAGTTTGGTAGGACCTGTAACAACATAAGCTGTTATCATATTTTCCAGGGACTCAGAGCTACCTTCTTGCCACAATAAGGCATTGGACAAAGAAAGATTTTTTACAGAATTGTGTAAAATGTAGTAGAATGATTACAGTTGTGTGTAGTATGTCAAGACTTTATTTTCTCTTTTAAGTACTGTATAATGAGTCCACGTTTTAAAATTCATGTTTTTCAGGAATTTGTCAGTGCCACCAAAAGGCCCTATGCAAATGAAATGGAAACTGTTGACTTTAAGGATAAACTGGAAGAAACTAAAGGCCAGATCAACAAATCTATTAAGGACCTTACAGATGGCAAGTACCTTCTAATCTAATGCTGTAACAGTGACCAGAGTCTGCTTTTTCTTCTATCATCCCAAGACAACACATTTCAGATCAATTATAATTACATACCTGGAAGAAGCTTGGAGTAGTCACTTAGTTTAAGCCTCTTTTTTCAGGCAGAACCAAATGGCCTTACTATGGTGATTTCCCCAGGATCAAAGCATTTCTCCTTTCATTTTCATATTAGTTTTTCTATTTTTATTTTTCCCCTTTGGGTCAGCTCTCATTGTTTAAGCATACATGTGTGTAAGTCTACATAGGATGAAGGGATGTAGAGCAGGGAAAGACCTTGGAGGTCATCTACTCCAACCACCTCACTTTGTTGTTCAGTCACATCAGTCACGTCTGACTCTTCATGATTCCATTTAAGGGTTTCTTGACAAAGATAGTGGAGTGATTTTCCATTTCCTTCTCCAGCTCATTTTACAGATGAGGAAACTGAGGCAGACGGGGTTTGGTGACTTGCCCAGGGTCACATAGCTAGTAAGTGTCTGAGGATGGATTTGAACTTAGGTCTTCCTGACTCCAGGCCTGGTGCTCTATCCACTGCACCACCCAGATTAATTTTACAAATGAACAAACTGAGGCCCAAAGAACATAAGTCATTTGTCCAAGGTCACACAGGTAGTAAGCTTAAGAGGCATGATTCAGGTTCTCTGAGCCAGTGTTCTTTACCTTCATGTATTTAAGATAATTAAATAATATATCTCATGTCAGTTCCTTTACCTTCTGTTCCAAAAATTCAGTGAAAAGGAGAAAAAAAGATTATTTTCTTCCAGGCCGTATCGAGGCAGCATCATGAAGCAAGTGCAATGTGCCTTTAGTTCTCAAGCCTTCTCTTATATATGCCTTACTTCTGCCTCCTTCCCTGTATGGTACTGATGCACTTATAGACTATTGGTGCATCATTAAACCCAATGAAGGCTCCTCTCCAGTGGCCTACCCAGCTCTCCTGACTCTCACAGTGCTTCATAATACCATGCACTTTCTCCATCTTTCTTCCTGTTTCTTTACCTGAGCACATCCCTCTGCTTTTCCCTTAAAATCTTATGAATCTTGTGTTCAACAGAGCCTCAGTGTTCTGTTTTCCCTGGAAAATCTCTAAATGAATATAAAATGATATGATTATGAGCTTCTCTTCCCAGGCAGCATATTTGTATTTTAATGGGAGCCTTTTGGGGACAAATCTTTAACCCAGGGAAGTAATTCTAGTGATAAGCATTTCAGGGATTATAGAATTTGAGGCAAGGAGAGGTTCTTTTAGACAAGGGGAAAGCTCTCAAATCAAATTTCATAGGCAGAGACCTATTTTGCCTTTGTGAGAATCTAACTCTCTTCTTCACAAGTGTGATTTTGTGATTTTGTGATTTACCAATCTGTCTGTCACACAGTATTTTTCCCTTATGTTTTTTTCCCCCTCTTCACTGTGCTTTTTCTTCATTTCTATTTAAACAGGAATTCTTAACCTGAGGTCCATGGACCTCCAGTGGGTCCATGAATAGATTTCAAGGGAAATAAATTTGGAAGGGAAACATTTTTACACTTATTCTTTACTAACTTTTAATTAAAATTTAGTATTTCTTTCAATCATGAATTAAAAAACTCATTATTGTGAGAGAGGTGATAGGCTATACCAGATTGTAAGAGAGGACCATGACACAAAAAAAGGTTTAAAACCCCTACTTTAAATGAAAATTTGGTATAAAGACCTGTAGGTTTATACAGATTAAAGCATCTGTCACAGTGCAAATAATTTTTTCTTTATTAGGCATAATCCCTTAAATGATTTGCTCCTTAGGACAGTTTAACAGATATCTTCTTGAAAGAGTTTCAGTAATTTAAAATTCAGATAGACCAGGGATTATGTCTGAAGACATAACTGTTAGCTTTCACTTTCTCTGAACAGAGCACGCTTTGGAATGGATACACCTACATTTATCCAAAAACAACCAACAACAAAAAAATAGGGCTTCCCTAAGTCAGGCTGGCAGGTCAACGGTAACATTTACTTCTTGAAAATTCTTAACTGAATTCTGTACTTAGAACATTATTACCATTCTCTTTTCAGTTAGTGGGTAATTTGTCATGGAATGGGGAAGTAGGGGTCCCATTGGAACTCTCAAGATTTGAACCATATAATCATGCAACGCCAGAGTGGGAAGGGCTTTTAGAAGCCATCTAATGCAACAAGAATCCCCTCTAGACCATAACTGACAAGCTCTCATCTTGACTTTGCTTCATGACCTCCAGTGAGGGATAGCTGGAGCTACTAAGAAGTTTTCCTTCATTGTTGTTCAGTCGTTTCAGTCGTATCTGACTCTTCATGACCCCATTTAGGGTTTTCTTGGCAAAGATAATGGAGTAGTTTTCCATTTCTTTCTCCAGCTCATTTTACAGATCTAATTCTCATCTCTCTACCCTGTCCACAAAGATAACATGAGAGATTTGGTCAAATATTTTTCCAAGGGGCAGCTAGGTGGCGCAGTGGATAGAGCAACAGGCCTGGAGTCAGGAAGACCTGAGTTCAAATTTGACTTCAGACCAGACACTTGACACTTAACTGTGTGACTCCAGGCAAGTCACTTAACCTCAATTGCCTCACCAAAAAAACCAAAACAAATATTTTTCCAAAATCTAGATAAATGATATCTATAGAATTTCCATGATCTGTTAAGCTATTAACCTTGTCAAAACCTAATGATTACCACTTTTTTTCTAAATGATCACTAATCACTCTTTCTTATGATACATTCTAGAAATTTGCTAGGTCAAGCTCATTAGCTTGTGTTTGTATACTCTATTCTCCACCCCACTTTTTTATTTTGAAGAAAAAAAATTGGGACAATTTTTGCCTTTAATTATGTGACACCTCTTCCCTCCTTCAAGATCTTTTGAAGACGTTGGCCTCAGCAGTCACAAAAAAAATTTTTTTTATATTGGGATTTAGTTTGTCTGGGTTTGGTAACTTGATTATTAATCTGTGTTTTAACTCAGAATGACAAGTCTCAGAATCATAGAATTTGAGAGTAGGAAGAGATCACAACATTTAATATGAACTATATGTGAAAGATATCTCCACTATAACTTACCTGACAAGTGGTTGTGCCTATTAACCACTTTTGTTCTGTTTCAGTCTAATGATCATTCACTTTG